AACTGGCTCAAAGTTAAATAAGAAAGTTGTGTATTTTTTGTTAATTGTAGTATGTGGTCATTTCAACGAATTTTGAAAATTCTATTTTCTTTATTAATTACAGTGCAAATACGTTTTCTTGAATGTGAAACTTCAATCTCAGCAACAGCAATGTATGGACGTGAATTTATGCAACTTGTTTTAATTTGAAGCAGCAGTAATGGTGTGGTATACTCTTCCTTTTTTAAAATTTTCATATACCTTCTTTACAGATTGTGCATATATGTTTATGCACACCTTGATTATTCAATTCTTGGTGATTTTTTAAAGTTGTGTAAATTCTATCCTTTGTAAAGGTGTGAGGAATCTGGCCCGTATGAGAAGCACATGAAGGATGTCATTTTAAGAAGAAGTGGTGAATGGTCCCTTAATAAAGAATTCTTAAACTTTGTTCACCATTGTTGTATTTATTTACTTTAAAGCAATTCAGTAAGTTCACTAAATATTCTTTAGCATAACATTTTCCAGGCAGTATTTCTTTCTCAGTTGAGAAGGGTAGTTTGCACAAGAAAAGAACTGAGAACCCTGTGGTTCACTGAAATATTAAAAATTTGAATCTGGCCTGTGTCTTGAGTTTCTGATTGTAACATAAATTCCCTGCACACACTGGCCTCAATTGTCCACAACAATGGTTTTAAATTTATGGAAATATACTGGACTTTAATGGACCTGACTGAGTAGCATCTGTCCCCATGTTTCACTAATTCAGTGAATGAAATGTCATTTATAGTTCTTGGTGTGATTTTACCAGTTTCAGGGTAAATGCAAATACTGTTGCCCAGGAAAAAAGATGTACGGGTATCATTTTGTCAAAGTTTCTTGAGAAAATCCCTCACCTTTCTTTGAGTACGTTTGGAATGGGCAGCCATAATAAATTTAAATAATAATAATAACAACAACAACAATAGGATGGAATAATAGAACTAAATGGATAATGCTCATGATTACAGGGTAGAGGACCCACAAAGTACTGTACTGATTTCTTTAATTTATTCCTAAATGATGTGGAGTTAGATACAATAAATAAGGTGATCAAGCTTTCCTTGATGTCATCAAATTACTCAAAATTATTCATGCCTCCATGAACTTGTTTTGATGGATTTGTACAATACACAGAATCATTAACCCACCAAAAAGGCTGGGTTTAAACATGCTAGGCCAAAAGAAAACTAACCAAGATGAACCCAGGTCAAACTTTGAATCCTCTGTCCATGTAGGCTAGAGATGTCTTCCAAATGTTGTTCTGGACTATCCACATTTGCGGATAACATCGTTATCCAGCCATAAAACATTTCTAGCTGAGTGATAGATTGATCACAACTGGGTTCATTTAAGCTGGGTGACACTAAGGCGGATTTCACCCAACACATGAAGAAATTGAATCAAGCCAAATTTTGCTGCTTATGTAAATGCGCCTACTGTATCTACACCTGCCCTGATTCAGCTGGATGGGTGACAACAGCTGTGGACACCCACCCATATTCTGCAAAGAATGGTTAGGATGTTAGGCGGACAGAAGAAACAGTTGCAATTCAATGCTCTTATCCTAAGTGCAGAAAAAGACATTATTTTAGATTGACCCAATGTAAGGACTTGCTAACCGTTGCACTAACACAATACAGAGCTTGGTCTCTGTTCACCTGGTAGGCTTAACTCCTCCCCTCCGTCTTGGGGTGTGGGGGAAATCAGCGAGCTCAGCCTAAGTACTCGTGCCAAGGGCATCCTTTGTGCCATCGGTGGTGCTGTCTTGCTGTGGGGAGCCTGGGCAAGCTGTCCTTGCCCATTTCTGGGTGAGTTACCCTTCCCTGTCTCTCTTCCGCCTAGTTCAGTGTTGTCCAAACTTGGCCACTTTAAGATGAGTGGACTTCAACTCCCAGAATTCCCCAGC